TACGTGATACCGTATTGTCGCGAAATAACGCGCAGGGGTGAAATTAAGAATTTCGACCTAAATTAAGCTTAATTTAGGCCGAAATTCTTAATTTCACCCCTGCGCGTTATTTCGCGACAATACGGTAGGCTTTGTAGTTTGATTGGTTTAATTGAGCAAACTGTTATTCTTATTGGTTAAAAGTCACAATTGATCTGCTAAACCAATAACTTGTTTTGGTGCTTATTATGAGTGTAGCATAATTGAATTTACAAAGTCTTTATTTTAAAGAAAGAAACAGGATTACAACTCAAGTACACATTGTTTGGGAAACCTGAGACGGTAACTTATAAATATGCACATAAGCTGTTGGAAAATTATGCATTTGAAATTAGTGGACAAAACTTACCTAATAGAAAGATTTACGGTAGGCTTTTGGAAAGCAGTATAGATTTGGATTAGAGTTTTGGGCATAAGAACACTAAAAATATTTTTATCTATATATATATATATGTAGCTGTTGGAGATAATCCCGCTTCAGGTATGTATTTTATAATTTATTTAATTTAAAAGATATTGGCAATGTTTTAAGAAATAGCAGGTAGATGTCATTTTGCAAGAAAATATGTATTAATAAAATTAGACTATAACTATTTTGTAATCTTTACTGGAATTTTAATCAAGTTATTATCTGCTAATGCTTTATAGTATTTTATTTTCTTACAATATATGCATACCAAAAACAGAAAACATTTATCAATATCTACTTATTAATTATAAACCTATTTTTTTTAACTTGTGCTATATAATTTTATTTGTTTTATTTATTAATTTTAAATTATTATTACTAACATTTTTTTGTTCAAAAATAAATAGATATAGCAGGTGCTAATAGATATGGCTGGACCTCAATTCTAGTAAGAACTGGTGTATTTACAGGAGACAATCATCTATTAAATCCAGCAAAATATGTAGCTGATAATATTTTACAAGCTGTAGAGTGGATGTTTTATCAAGAAGAAAAGTCTGGTAATGAAAAA